CTAATGCCCAAAGATGGGATTAGAAGGTGGGGTCTTTAGGCGGTGCTTAGGTCTTGAGAGCAGAGTCCTCAAGGATGCAGTTAGTGCTTTTAAAAAGAGGCTCCAGAGATCTCTCCAGTCCCTTCCATGTGAAGATATAAGGAGAAGTTTGCAACTTGGAAGAAGGCCCTGACCTTGGACTCCAGCCTCCAGAACTGTAGAAATAAATTCCTGTCCTGCATAAGCTACCTGGTCTGTGGTATCTTGTGATAGCAGCTTGAACAGACTAAGATTAGGAACTTAATAATGATGATGGCCATAAGGATGAGGAATAAGAAAGTCCTTAAGGAAAGCAAAAACCAAAAAAAAAAAAAAAAAAAAAAAAAGAACGAAATGTGAATACATCAAAGTTGAAAATGGCAAGTCATCTTCTGCCATGCATAAGTTAAACGTTGAGAAACTCAAAGACAAACCACAAACAGGAAGAAAGTATTTGCAACATCTATAACAGCTAAAGGATTAACATCTAGAATACATAGAAAACTCTCAACACAAGGCAAGGGATATAAGATTTATGTAACAGAAAACAGGAACAGTCCATAAATGTATAAAAATACACACAGCTTACCAGCAAGTTAGACACTGGCAAATTAAAACAAAGAGATACAACCGTTGCATCAGATTGGCAAAAATAAAATGTTTCTTAATAGTGTTGGTGAAGCCTGAGGAAACGGTTCCTGTCGCACAAGACTGGCAGGGTTATAAAGTGATGAAACTATTCACTAAAATTTAGGATATGTATAGCCTTCAATCAGCAATTGTAGTTTCGAGAAGTTACCTCAGGGAACCCCTGACCCAAATACCCAGAGTGGGAGACACGGGCTAACTATTACTGCATACCGCAGGATTGTTTTCTATAGCCCCAAACTAGAAACAAAGGCCAAACAGTCTGTCAATGAGAGATTATCATTAAATAAAATTTAGTAATCCATTCTATGGGATATGGATTTAAAACTATGAGGTAAATATGCAGGTACTTACATGAAAAGTTCTCTAAGACAAATTATAAAGTAAAACACAGGTTCATGGAACAGTAAAAATAATATGATGGTATTTAGGGTACAAATAATCATAAACATTTCCATAGTTACTCATGTAAAATTCCTTCAGAGGATATCTGGAAAGATACCACGAAGCTGATACCGGTGGTTGACTTCTAGTCAGAAGACTAAGACTGGGGTCAGAGATGGAAAGGGGTTAAGAACATTTATACTGCTTCACTCTCTTAACACAAAGATCGTATTTGTGTATTATTCATAAAGTTAAAAATAATTAAAATCTGTAATTTTCAAAAAAAAAAGTATTAGGAGTCCTTCACTTATAAATGTCTATTCTTCCTCCTATTTCTTTTCAATTTAATGTAATTATGTGCTCCCCTTCCATCTCCCTCCAAGCTCCTCTTCCAAGGATACAAGGAAGAGCCCACTGAGCTGCACTGAAAGTCTTGGATCCCAACTAGTAGTAGCTAGTTTTATTTTTACACCAATCTTGGCACAGAAGCAGGAAATCAAGTTGCAAGGCAAAGGTCTACTTTGTTTCATCTTCTAGGAGGATAGGTTTGTAATAGCTCTTTAACATTGACTTCTTTTTTCTTTTTGGCTTCTCCTCCAAACTTGTGAGGCAGATTCCTCTTGTACTTAAATGGTTTTTGTGGCTAACACTTCCTGTGTTTGTTCCCGGTCCCAGTATGGGACCAACAAAAAGGCATAGCCTAATGTTGGCAACCTCTTAAATACTCTGGCTGTGCAGGAGCCCCTTCCCACCCACAATCACAAAAAAAGCTCATCCTCTTCCCATACTATACACTGACATAAGAAAAACCTCCGTGCTCAAAACAGTCCTATTCGGAAACTTCTTGTTGCTACTTATAGTCACTAAGATGTACAGAGCCAACAGTAAAGAAGAAAGTGATTAAAATAAGTTCAGAGCTGGTACAAAGTATGAACATTTATCCCTTAAGATCATGTTCATATGTATCTGCTTCCACCAGCCCCGAATAGTCTTTCAATGTTTCACCAAAGCACATGTTTGCTACCTAAAAATTACTTTCTACTATTTCCAGCTTTTAATTCCTAAATCTATCTCCTTTGCTCCCTGTCTTCTTTGCCACCTATCATTTCTATGATGAAAAATCAAAGCGGGAGTTAGAGGAAGGGAGCATCTCACTGTCCTTAAAGGGTGAAATTGGGGACTACAGCATCACCTATAGGATGGTGGAACGTATCATGGAATATCATGTAGCCTCTACAGGAGAGACGACATGGCTAAGACATTGTGTAAAATGTGAAATTTTTCCTCCACAGCTATAAAAAGAAAGATCTCGTTACAAGAGCTTCTTTACTAAGAGCTTCTTAAAGCCACTCAGCTCACCTCTGAGGAGACCAGGTGTCGCTCGGGCACAGGTTTCATGGCAAAGGAAAAACAAGGTGGGGAGAAGTCCAAAAGTGGCCGAGAAGCCCCTTATCGTAAATACCAGTTCAAGGTTCCGAACCCACAGAAAACACAGTGCATAAAGTCGATGAATAAACTTTAAAGTTTATTGTTTTCCCTCTGAGACACGGTCTCTATAATACATGGGAAAGATTCACATCACTAAGAGTCATTGTTAGAAAAAAATATTTTAAAGAAAATGGGCCTCTAAGTAACATCATGATTGTGCCACGCGGCCAGGTATCATCTGATGATCTTATGCAAAAACATGGACTAAAAGCTTGGCTTGCCATCCTCATTTGAGAGCATCATCTTCTAGCATACATTTCCTCTAATAATCACTTATACCTGTCCATCTCCTAGAAGTGGATGTATCACTCTTTCTGGCTCCAAGACCAGGCTTAAAGCCAGAAGAAAATGACAAACTTAGAAGCATGAAAAGCTTAATTTTTTTTCTTAAATCCTCTCATCATTTGTATACTGATATATGATCATTGATGAGAAAATAAACCTCCTAACTCTGATATATGACTGAGGGATAACTTAGGTATTTAAAAAGTGAGAAATGAAAAAAAAATAAATAAATAAAAAAAATAAAAAATAAAAAGTGAGAAATGAAATTTACCATCTCTTGGCAGAACTGTAAGATTAATATCCAGGAGAGGGAAAGCAATAAAGAGATAAAAGGAATTGCTACCACATTATTTGTTTTAATTGGTCATAAACAGCATCACAACCAAGAGAAAATGGTTGTTGCAAAAAATTGAAAGAAATTTTCCTACACCTGAAAATAGGCATAAGTCAAAATCCTGGGTTCACAGAACAATAGAGATGCATCAGAGAACCTTCTGTCCTAAACCCTTTTTCTTTCTTAAGCAAAGAAATATTTATGATTGGTCTTAGAAGGGAGCTTAACTGAGTTGCCATGAATTATTAAAAAACCCCAAAATACCTTCTGTTGCTTTTATAGAAGCTTGATTTACAAGCTGAAAAATCAAACTGACAGTTTAGTCCCTTGTCCAAATACCCAACCTCTAAAAATGCCCTAGGCATTATAAATATATCTTTCATGAATATAGCTTCAACAGTTCTAAAAATAGCCTTTAGGAGGGGGGAAAAAAAAAAAAAACAACTCTTTCAAGCCATTGTTTTATACATAACAGCAGGAAACCAAACAGAATGTCAAAGCCAAAGTGATTAACACACCCAGTAATAAACATGAACATTAAGTAGGAAATCTTACTCAAATACATTTTTGTTTTACATTAGCTTGGAGTCTACGGTGTAGCCCTGCATCTATGGCCAGAGATGATTCCAGCATACCCGTATTTAAAAATTAACTTCAAGGCTAAAAGGCTAAAATTCACCTTTTGGATGAGTGTAAACAGGCATGTCCAGAACTGGCTCAGGGAGCCAGATAGCACTGTCCACTACTCTGGGGGTTCCCCCCAGGCTCCACCCTGACCCCAAACATGTCATTACAAAAGGTTAGTTCCAGACCACTACTCACAGGTGAAGTCGAGGTTGCCCCGAAGGCAGAAGGGAAGGCTGACAAATTCCAATAACTTTGGCTATAGAGACCTAACTCAGGGATGTGAAAAGACTAACAGTCCTTCACAAGGTGATACCAGGTATTTTATTGGTTTTGATATGTATTTAGCACACTCAATAAAACTTACCCATCTCTCCAAATAATAGAATTTATAAGGTCAAAAATGTTCTGTGTTCTGTAGCCTCATGGGCTCAGGTACAGAACCATGGCATTCATTGTCTCTTGAATAACTACTTTCTATGAATTTTTTTTTCTGCCCATTAAATTCCAAATAAATCTTGAAATTTGCAGACATTCTACTTCTTAATAATTCAAGTTGGAATCATCTCAATTGGTTTCATAGTAAATGAGATCCTCAATTCATCTCAATTGGTTTCATAGTTAATGAGCTCCTAAATTCATGATATGGTAGACAGGAAGCTCAAATGAAAAAAACAAATCCTGAAAAACTGAAGGTATGAGCTAAAGGGATCATATTCTTAAATTTTCTAATGTGAACAAATGATCATGACCCAATTCCTCCCGAGGCTGGGAGAACTCTTTAATAAGCAGCCAAGGGGAGAAGGAAGAGTAAAGGAAAGCCAAACTCATAGTCATTTGGATCAAAGTGATTTTCTTATCATTTTTCTTTATTCTTGATGAATCAACCTGGAGGGGGGACTTAAGTCCCTAATGCTGGCTAATTTTCTTCTACAGCAAAATGTCATTCACGTGTCCATGTTCTTGTCCTTGAAAAAATACCAATTGTTCTAGGATTTAGCATATCTAATACTTTGGACTAGTATCCTTGGAAAATCCTAAGACATGACCACCTTAGGGATTCTAAGTAGAATCTTAAAATAAATTACAAAGTGTCATCCATGAAATGGATATACTTAAGGTGACTTGTAGGTACAAGGATATACTTGTAGGTAACTTAAACACTTGGCAAATCAGCAACCAATTGGAAAATGTAAGGAAGACATATCTCATTTTTTACCTTATTTTGATCGGTCCAGTAAAAGAAAAATCCCTGAGGGTCAGTCCTCAAAATAATTGGAGTGACAATAGCAGAGTCCTAGAAATTAAGAAAAAACACGAATATCAACATATATCACTGTAGAAAGTCCTATCCAGGCGTTGTTTAACAAGTAGTAATTGTTAAGGGTTTCTCCAAGGTCGCCAATGATTAGTAAAAGTTTCAAAAAAATAGACAAGGCATCCTAACTTCACAGCATTATTAATTATGTAACTAAGCTTCTTTACTAGTAATTAGAATATCTGTGCATTACTTGTAAAGAAAAAGCCCAGCAATGCATATATTTATTGATTAAGACAAATTGACATGTTTTCTATTAAAAAGCGATATCTACTTTTCCAAATAATTTTAAGATTAAACACCATTACCTATTTTATATATGTAAAATTAATTAAAACCCATGCTTGAAGGTAACATTTTAGATTACATTTGTGCTATAAAATGATCTTTAATTTTACTAAGGAGAGTAAACATACTATTTGGGCATTGCTGTTTCCAAGGTAACAGTAAATAAGCCCATGGTCTACATTTTCCCAAAGATATACGCTAAATTGTTGCAAATTTAAATTTCATAAGATAAAATAAAACATCACAAGCAAATAGTCTTCGGAGTTCAAAGCATGCACATTATAAAGCAAAACAGCATGCACTGTAATTATAATATTAAACATTTCTAAAATATGTGTTCTTTTCTTTTGGCAATTTTCAGAAAGGCATACCATCTGCACAAGAAAACACATGTCACTGGATATGGATTTTTATTCTGAAATACTTGGGCTTTTGCAGGAATTACATTTTTAAAAGGGACGTAAATCACCAGTTAATTTCAAGTTTTTCATACACACATAAGGTATGACATATTTTCTACCTGATCAAAAAGACTTATAATGAAAATTAGAACTTGCAGAAATAATTTTGGGAACGGAGGATTGTTTTCCCGATGGGAGGAACATAGCAATGGTTTTAGTCTACATGGTGAGTCTTATCATAAAGCTAGGTTCTGAAGGGGATGCCTGTCCCCAATGAGTGGGCTGAGTTTACATAACTACAACTGAAAACAAAAAACAAAAACCAAAATAATAATAATATCTACCTCAGAGGGTCTCCGTGAGAACTAAAGAGGATAATTTGGGTAAAGTACTTGGATGAAATGCTTGGCTCATAAAATTATTTATTATTAGTGGATTATGCTTAAAACTATTAAAATAGTAAATGAAAATTTATCATGGCCTTCTTTTTTTATCATGGTTCATACCATACAGAACTCAGCATTTGTAAGTATAAAGTTCAGTGGCATTAGGTATATTCACTCTGCTGTGCAGCCATTGCCACATCCATTTCCAGAACTTTTTCATCTTCCCAACTGGAATCCCACACTCATTAAACACAAACTCCCCATTCCCTCCTCCCGCAATACCTCGCAATCTCCACCTACTTCCTGTCTCTATGAATTTGACTCGTCTAGGTACCTCATATAAGTAGAATCATGCAATATTTATTCTTTTGTGACTGGTTGATTTTGTGACTGGCATCATGTGTTCAAGGGGTCATCCGTGTTGTAGCTAGCAGGTGTCAGAATTTCCTTCCTTTGTAAGGCTGGATAATATTCTATTGTATGCACATATCGTATTTTGTTTATCGACCCATCTGTCAACGGACATTTGGGTAGTTTCCACCCTTTGGCTACTGCGAAGAATGCTGCTATGAACACAGCTTCACAAATATCTGAATCCCTGCCTTCAGCTGTTTTATACCCAGCAGTGGAATAGCCAGATCACTGGACAGTCCTGTTTTAAGTTTTTGAGGCACTGCCGTCCTGTATTATCCTGATATACTTAAGATGTATTCTTTTTTTTTTTTTTTTAAGATTTTATCTATTTATTTGTCAGAGAGAGAGAGGGAGAGAGAGCAAGCACAGGCAGACAGAATGGCAGGCAGAGGCAGAGGGAGAAACAGGCTCCCCGCCGAGCAAGGAGCCCGATGTGGGACTCGATCCCAGGACACTGGGATCATGACCTGAGCCGAAGGCAGCTGCTTAACCAACTGAGCCACCCAGGCGTCCCTTAAGATGTATTCTTAACGTGCAGTTTGCAAACTCTCTTTTACAAGGATTGTGTTGTTGCTTGGAAATTCAGCTGGAATTTTAAGATTTCAAAATCACTTCTAAATGTTAAAAAAAAAAGACATTTGAAAACAAATTTAATATGATAATGAAAGAACAATATTTAAAATAGTTTAAGCTGCTTCTATGAGATTATGGGCATAAAAGGTCACAGCAATATTTGCAGTAAATCACAGCAGTATTTTCAGGTCTGCTTTATCACCTCTCATCCTCTAGAGTCGGGCAAAGTGAAACTTTCAGACAAGCCGCACACAGCCCACATCCCCACTTCCAGTGAATCTGGAATTAACCTGTAGTTTTTAACGTATTGTTCCAGGTCGGTTCCTTTTCTTATCAGAGTGTCTCACAAGAGCATCTGACAAGATTCTAATCTGGGTCTTGGTGGCAATTCACTGCAAGGATCCCAGACAATGAAGTATTTAAACTCAACAAGGTAAACCTACTCAAATTTATATTTTAGAACACTGTACTAGTCCGCCTCACTTGCTTCTGATACTGCTATTTCTAGCTTTTTCCTTCTCCTCCTTCAAGATTACAGCTCCTTTGTACAATATTTTCTTGACCCCACGCTTCCGGCCACGGTCCTTCTGCTAAATGATCATTTATTTCAGCTACCTGTCTGCTTCCTCCATAATCACCTCTAACATTCCAAGATCAGCTGGAACCTGGCAGTCTTGCCGTCCAAGGCAGGACTTGACCCAGAAATACATGAATATCCATTTTCAGTTCCACCTGCCTTTTTCCCACCTCCCACATAGCTGCAAGTGTCTATATTCTCTCCGTACCAAAGTAGCCACTCAACCCAGATCACAAGTATTCTTAATTGTCAGAACATATGCTCCAGTTTGAAGTTTGAAATATATGGTCATCCTTCATTTCCAAGGCAACTGCAGAGAGACTGTAACTCTTGCCGCATTTTACTGCAGAAAAATGGAGACAACTCTCCAAAGGTCTATTTTTTTTTTTATTTCTCTCCATCAGTATCCATAAGACATGGATTCCATTTAAGACGGTGGTTTTCAAATTTCCGGGTGCATCAGATTTACTAAAAAAGGATTTGCTAAAACAGATTCCTGGGCCCCTTCCCCAGCGTTTCTCATTCAGTAGATTTGGGCTAGAGCCTGAAAACATGCATTTCTTTCCATTTTTTTTTAACTAATTTATTTATTTATTTATTTATTTATTTACCTTTCAGAGAGGATGAAAGAGAGAGTACAGGCTTGGAGAACAGCAGGCAAAGCAGAGAGAAGGAAAAGCAGATTCCTGCTGAGCAAGGGGCCCCCTGCAGGACTCGATCCCAGGACCCTGGGATCATAACCTGAGCCAAAGGCAGATGCTTAAATGACTGAACCAGGCAGGCATTCCAAAAACATGCATTTCTAGTAAGCCCTCCACGCTGCTGCCACCGCTGCTACTGCTGTTGCTGGTCCAGGGACCACGCACTTTGAGATCAACTCAGACAGGCCTACAATGGGCAAAGCTTTGGGTCAGGAACACAGCGATATAAAGTCCCAAGGAGAACCGATGAGCTCAGAATGCAGACAAAACTGTGCCGCTAAGAATCCAGTTTTAACTTGTTTATTGCAGGTTATAAGGTTTTGTTTTGTTTTTTTCCCATTCGACATCTGCCTTGAAAAGAGAACACCAGGAAACACACCTGTCTTATGTAACAGTGGATAATGCGCAGGAAATTTCCATTTACTTCTCTTTATTTGATAGAAACTGTTTTACTCGCATCCCTAGCTCATCAATAGATCCACAGTGAGACTAATATAATGATGTAAGAAGCTGCTGCTTCGCAACTTGTTTTTTTTTCATTATTGCCTCACTAAGAAGCCCTTTTAGACATTTGTTTTTCTAATCATCCTTAATGAAACTTTAATATCACAGATGCTCTTATCTATTTATGTGTCATACGTATGTCTTTATACAAAATTTAAAAAGATATTTTTTGTCCCTCAAGACCATTTTTCGGTTATTTTGGAGGTGATGTGGCCCCAGCTGAGAATCCACGCTCTGTGTCTGCATGTCCAAGATGGACTCACTGAACCGTTACAATGTGACTAGTTCAACTGAGATGTGCTGTACTATTTCAAAGACAAGGAATGAAAGCAAGAATATAAAATAACCACATTAATAATTATTGGTATTGATTATATATTGATATAAACATACTGGGTTAAATAAACTCTGTTCTACCTGTTTCTTTTTACCTCTTTTAATATGGCTCCTAGAAAAATGTTAAATTTCCTAAGTGGCTTACAGTCTATTTCTATTGGGTAATGCAGCTCTAAAACTTAGGGAGAAACCAGGTTTCTCATTCGTAGGGAAATGTTTTTTACAAAACAATCTTGGTCAAATAATCCCATCTAGCCAGTTCTGGGTTTTTTCCATTTATGCAGTTATCATCCAGTTTTAACATCTAAGTAGCGCAAAACAAATCTGGTTGCTTCTCTAAGCGTCAAATCTTCAAATATCTGAATAGAGCCAGCATGTTGCCACCCCCTGAGCCAAATACTCTGCCAGGTAGAGGTATGTTGTGGGCTGAATTGTGCCCCCCACAAAAAATTTATATGTTGAAGTCCTAACCCCAGTTCCTCAAAATAAGTGTCACCATCTTCAGAGTCTGTACAAAGGTGATTACGTTAAAAGGAGGTCACAAGGGTGGGCCCAAATCCAATGAGGCTGGCGTCCTTACAGAAGAGGAAATTTGGACACAGAAACAGAAGACAAAGTGGCAACATAGGGAAAAGTCGGCCAACCCTGAGTCTAGGCCATTGGCCTGAACAGATGCTTCCCTCAGGGCCCAAAAGGAAGGAACCAGCTCTGCCATACCTTGATCTCAGATTTCTAGCCTCCAAAACTGTGAGAAAATCAATTTCTCTTGTTTAAACCCCCCAGTCTGTGGAACTTTGTA